GAAGAAATAATAATCAACATAGGAGGTGAAAGTGATAGCAATGACAGTTCCTCAGACAGTGATCATGACTCTAATCAGGATTGAAACTATACTAGATTGGCTACCTTTTAGAATTTTTAGATATTCATTTATTATACTATTGGTTTGTGGCTTTTAGTATCTCAGTAGAAAGTCTAATTCTATGTGTTGTTTATGGGTTATTTCATCAAGAAATTACTTTTTGTTTTCCTATATTTTTCTATTCAGTCAGATATTTTTGACTTGTTGTATTCTATTTTAGAAGAATGCATAATTTGTTTTGCTGTTCAATCATAATGCGTACATAGGAATATTACTTGTTGCCTAAAAAATATATTTATTTTGTTCTCAATATTCAGTGTTTGTGTATATTTATTTCTTATAATGTATGTTTGGTATCACGTCATTATGAATCGCAAAAAAATATTAATACTACCAGTTGTAATAAAATATAAATTCAATTAATAATTCAAGTCTCTCCGATCTCCGCCTATGACTCCATATAAAATCGTCTAATGGTAAGGTTTTTTCATCGCATTTCCCCCTTTCGTCCCTAGCAATCTTTGGCTGGTCGATCAATACCTACCCTTCTACATCTCCTACAACCTTTAATCCACAATTTTCAACCAATAATCTGGCAGGCATTGAGACACACAGGCAGATCGATGGGAATGAGTAACATAGTTTTTCGTGATGTACATGTCATATAACATCCAAAAAAGATAATATCTCGATTTCTTCTATCTTATATTTTCGAAGAGCTTCGCGATTACAATACATCCTCACCAGTGGCGTAGGAAGTGAAAGGTCGAAGGTTTAAAAAAATCTGTACCCAGGACAAAATTGGCGTACTGAGGGAAGGGAAATGCATATACTCTTTGCCTTTGGACGTGGGAAGCAAACATATTTGAATGGATTCTAAAGACAAACTAAAACCAAAACTTACTGCTTCCATACCATCTACGGTAATTTTCAGACAAGTCAACTCTAAGAGATAGTTGGGATTTTGCTGAGTATATTACTGTGATTCAGCTCAGCTTCAGCTCTGCTCCGGGTTAGCTTCAAATCAGCTTCAATTCAGGTTCATTTTGGATTCGATTAAGCTTTAGCTCAGCTTCAGTCCAGCTTGGGCACTTTACATAAATATTGTAAATTAAATCCTGAAAAACTCAAGGATAGCTAGCAGAACAAAGTTTTGCCTCATAGAAAAGGTTATAACGTGACCTGTTTGCAGTTGCAATATTATCCTATATTATCCTTCACTTTCTGGACACCCTGTACAAGGAGAATAATCATATGTCACTACAACATATTAGCACAGCTTAGATAGAAAACACCTATGAAACTCTCCTATCAGTGTCAAAAATGGCCGCCATTTTTGCGGGGAAAGTCGAATGTAAATTCACAGTACAACGATGAAAGGGGTTTAGTGCTCAGCAGCAGCCGGTGTTGCCTCGTCTCATGCCAGCGGCCACAGACATTCTTTGCAATCTTAAAATGATAATGTTTGGATATGATATAGTGTACCGGCTGGTGCTAAGCACTAAAAACTCTTTCATATTTGTACTGGGGAAATTTACATTCGACTTTCTCCGCCGGACTGGCAGCCGTTTACGAGAAAATCGCATGTAAATTCCCCTAGTACAACATTGAAAGAGGCTTTAGTGCCGGCGTTGCCGCATACCCTGCCAGCGGCTGCAGACATTCTTTACATTCCTAAACTACAGTATTCCGACATTATCTAGTGTAGTTTGTGTAAACCAATAATAAATAGGAGTATGTTAGTCCAAAATAATTCAGCGAAAACGGAAAAATATGTACTTTTGACACTGCATAATTTTCCACTGTTGCGATATTCTCAATCCATTTTATGTAATCATTGTTAAAAACACCAGGCACAACATTTACTGAATTACAAGAAGTTTGGTGTCTTAGTTGCGGAAAAAACGAGAGAAAACCTGACACTTCTGATGATTCCTCGGCTAGGATACTTCCACATACAGGGTGAGTTTTTAATGTGTAAGTTGTCGGTAGTTCTGATATTTTAGCGCCGTATCGTCAGTCATTCCTATAATTGTAGACGCCTTTACGGCGTTCTTGATTTTCATAATTTTCTACTGTTCCGTATCAGTGCTCTATTTTGAAGTTATGTTACAAATATCTGTTTGCATCAAATTGTTCATGTTTTTGATTTCTATCATCAGTTTTATCAGCCTGAAAGCTCCTACAATTCACAAAGAAAACATGACATCACAATAGGAGAGCACTGATGTTGATCCGTAACAGTGGAAACTTAGAAGTACCCCAACCTTTCTGAATGAGAGAAAGGACTTTGAAAATCACTGGTGCCATAAAGGGGTGCTACAATTGTACTAACGACTTACGATACGGCATTTAAAGGCCCAAAAAAGTTAGTCATAGAAACTGTAGGGAACTTTGCGATCCTTACTTGGAAAATATGCCGCTCTCCACAGAGCGATTCATAATTACATGGCAACACAAACAGCAGCTGCGAAGAATGCCTGATAGGAGTATTTTTCCGTTTACTGCCACAATTACAAATTTATTTTAAAGCTTTACTTTACTTAAAAAAAAATGGTCATCAATGCTTCGTAGCTTCTTTTTGGAGATTCTCCTTTATATAATTGGGTCACAAAAACGACACTAATAATTTTTACGATTGCAAAGCATTTCTGCAGAATATCTGCCGCTAGTAGAGTATGACGGCCGTTTTTGACACTGACAGGAGAGTTTCGTAGCAGATTGTTATCTAAGCTGTGATATTAGAATAACATTAATGTTTTTTCCTTAATCAGCCTCATGACAGGGATATACTATTTAAGAACATATGTTTATAAGAAGTTTTACTTCCAACACCACTGTAATCGCAAAAGATTTCTTAAATGGAATATCATGGTCACCCTTTGTTCTATTATGTTTCTATGGACTAATTGTGCTGAACATAATCCTTTACGAACTGATGACAGCGTTGCGTGGGAAATGCTGAGTCAATCTACTTGACGCGATTTTGTTTTGAAATGAAACTCATGTCCTTCAATGCCCTAAGCTCTTCAATCATCCTGAATATATAGAATACTTTTCCAGGGCTATTTGCTCCAGTATCGCTTGAGTAATGACATCTGCAAGTAATTTGTCATCTCGAAAAGGTAATTAATTCGAAAGGAGACGTTAGAAGCTCCTCGAAATAAACTTTTAACTTATCCTGCCGGAGGCAATAATTGTTGCAATATATTACCAGTTGTTGCGAAAGAGCACAAAAGTATGATAAATCTATCTTCGAGACTATTTCTGTCGTTTTATTGTCCGTATTTTTGCACACCTGCCAAGTGTTAATAGCGAAAAATGCTTTTTGAATTGATTGGATTCTGATAGAAGAATGTAACCCTTTCCTTTTTCCAGTACAAAAGAGTCAATTAGGGCTCGGTTTGTATTGAAACATTGTACTACCAATAGGAAACAATGCCGTAATTTAGCCCCTTCCCCTGAAATGGATCTCTAGCCTCATATTTCTTATGAAATTGGTTCATTTAGATATTTGGTTAAAATGTTATTGGATATACAAGTTTATATTTAGTTTGGTACTTCTACAACGGCTATAGCTATCGATGCCATTCGGAATAAGAAGGTGAGATTATGTCTTTCGGAATGAAAAGATGAGATGAAAAAAGGCAGGGAGCAGGAAAAGAAACATACGAATGTGATTTGTAACGCTATGGAATTACAAATATGCATCTGTTTACGCCCTAGTAACTGGAACACTGCGCAACAATGAGGCACTCTTGTAACGCCCACGCTTAGGCAACCATATTTAAGCACGTCACGAACATTCGTCACGCGCCGGGAAACATCGACCGCCAGCAAGCTTCAAGGAGAACTGTCTGGAAGGCTTCTGGAATTCGCCGAATCAAAGATGAATACACGTGCAGAGGGCAGGCAGTAGACCAACAACGGATGATGAGTCAGCAGCGCGGAATACCATAGTTCAGTCAATAGCCATAAATGTGCAATAAATGGGTGCAAATGTGGTAATCAATGAATGTGAGAGTAGTAAATTAGATTTTAAATATTAAAAACGGTGTTTTCGTTACGATATATTCTGAATGCTTGGTTACGAATAAAATTTTAGTTGATGTTAACATTGGCTTTGTCACCTCTTTCTTAAATCAGGTATATGTTAGGTTTTGGAAACTACGTTTTTTTAATAGTACAATTTTTGAAGGCTTATAGTGAATGAAGACAAGGTAAACGTTTATAGACCCTTATTTTCTTGTTTGCGTTCCGTCATCTGTGCCCAAATGAATAGATCTATACCGTACTGATGATTCCTAAAACGTATTTAGACGATCGATTATGGTGGTGGCGGAGAGGGATCAAACAGAAACAGAATAGTCTGTGTTTAGTTTATGAAACTTTTGCATAGGATGTTAATGCTGGTAGCACTGTGACTACTTAGTACTCTCCTGAGCGGCAATGGGATATTATGGATTTCTTTGCATGGCTTCACATAAACGACATTCTGGATCTTAGATTCCGGGGAACTTTGGCTTCTGCTGCAATACATACGTTCGGTAGTACCGCGATTTTCAACTAAATTAACTATTCCCCACATTTACTACAACCATCAACAAAATGAGGGTCCAGATTTGATGCAGTATGTCTTATCATTGGTGCAGTATGACCTCAATTGAAAGGAAAAAAAGTGCCGCTAAATATTTTTTTTAGCAGAAGCAAACTCATGGGCGCTCAAAGAACGGTGCCAGTGGGGATGGTCTCCTAAGAATCCGGTTGGCCCTTAAAATTTGCATATCGGGCATAATTTCTTGGGCTTGGCATTCCCCTGAGGAAACATTTGCTACCCCCGCGCAGGTGATCGCCCCCCCTGAAAAAAATTCCTACGCGCGTCAATGAGCGTGCTCAAGTCTAGGTGGTGACATTTAGGATTCTACTTTACCCATACTCACCATTTTTCTTATAAAAAATAACTTCCAGCTTGAGCTCATTCTTGGACTCCAAGGCCTTGTCGATCTGCGTCTTGTGCTCCTCCTTGGTCTCAGGGCCGTAGAGGAATTTGCAGGCGCATCCCTTCTGCATGATCTGCGCCCTGCTGAATCCTGTCAGCTCACAGAACCCATCTGAGCAGTACACAATCGGGTACAGGGAGGGTACTTGTGCATTGCCCAGCACGAAGTTACTGTCTGCAAAAGAGATATTCTGAATAATTATAATTGACCTTTTTTTGTTTACCAAACCAGCCGGTGCACCGCAGCTGCTATAAGGAGCTTAAAGAAACTTTGCTAATACGGTTTTAGAACTGCTTAAGGTTAGGAGAACTGGGTAAAGCCTTCTCAGGTAGATTGTTCCACAATCTCGGTACCCCAGGGACAAAAGAACGTTACCGGTCAGTTCTAGATGTACGAAGTTCGACACGGTTAGGATAGGAGGCCGAAGCCATGGTCCATGTCTAGCAGGCTCATCGCGCAGCTGCATCATTAAGGAGAACTCTGAAGAGCAAAACCCACTGAAATAGCGAGAGCTAGATCGGTTGCGGTCCGCAGGTACGAAAGGGTCCCGAGACTGTTCTTTAGAGAACCGTTACCGATTAGTTGACAGCCCCTCTCTGAACCGGATAAAGTATGGATGATGTAGACGTGGTGGCAGCACCCCAAACGTGTGAGCAGTATTCGAGGATGATAATAATAGTAATAGTAATGGCTTATTGGTGTTATTATAGATACACACACGTATATGGTTAAAACGGTGACAATAAAAGATAAAATATAACAAACTACGTCCAATAAATAAATAAATGACATAAGAGATAAAACTATAATAAATAATATGATTTTAAGAAACAGGAAAAAAAGAAAATATAGCATGAAATATCATAACTTATTGAGTATCCGTGAATAATTTTTGGTAGAGGAGCCTGCCAATGGTGAAAAAACAGCATCTGGGCTTTGTACAGAGTAAGAAGGTTATGTGGAAAAAATAGTTTTTTCCCAGCAGCTGCTGTGTTCGTGCCAGATCAAGTCGTCGGTGACCAGCCGAAATGAATGTATTTTTGGTAGACTTTGGCCATCCATGGAAACCCGATGAGCGCTAGGACGCTTCTTGTTATTCAAGGTGCAGTACTGTCTATATAGAGAAAGAGAGAGAGAGAGATGTTCGCCTTTTACTCAGAGGGGCTAACTTGTGACTTACATAATCCTTTATGAAGTTATGGCAGGGTTGCGCGGGAAGTGCAGAGCCAACCTACTTGACGCCAAGTGCGAAAAGGATAGTGTCTTCGATTACCTGCAGTCAACTAAAACTACAACAGTATCATTGTAATCTTCTCGATAAACTGGCTGTAGAAATTCGAGGAAAAGTTACAGGTTTACAGAAAGCAAAAATCATTTTCCATCGGGACTATGTTGCTGCTCAGAGGTGCACTCTAACAGTCGCAAAAATAACGTTTCAAGTTGCTTGGAAACCCACACTCTTTACCAGATTTACCAAGTGATGAAGTCAGGACATCAGTAAAAAATGTTTCCAACGAAAAGGGGATTCCGTTGGATAATAAACTTATTTAATGATATCTAATAATCTTTTAGATTCGGACTCGGCCACCTCAAAACATCTACATACAAGTATTGTAAATTCAATTTCTCGACATTTTCTTACTTTAACCTAGAAATGACCTTGAAGCGTCCTTCATGATACGTACCAACTGACCTAGTGTTGCCAGGTGCAGTTGATCATATTCGGGCAAAAATAAACTACAGCACCAGCTAACTAAAAATAATACATGCTTTAACAAATTCCAAAAAAGTGTTTAAAATAAAAAATTAATATGTAAACCATATTTTTAGATATCACTTGAGTTAGTCAGTACTCTGACTCATTTTGCTATACTTTTCTTTGTCATATTACTTTACATATTCCTTATTTACTTTAAAAGTGAGACACTTTACTATTATTAGTTATTTGCCTTTTGCTGATTTCGTATCCGTATTTAGACGGTACCTTATACTGCTTTCCATTAGATTTATTTGTTGAAATACTCTCACAAAGTGAGCTGGTAATCTGGTTAAAACTTTAAACATATACGTATCATCTCAATATTTCAAATGGGCAAATCAGCTCCAGAATAAAAACAATTTGGAAAATTGTTCAATTTCTTTGGTATTCCGTAGTAAGCTCCACTCTGTATCCAGAGAATCTATATCCTGTTCACTTATCAAATTTGGAAAAAGTCGTCTATTCACAGGTTAGATCCAGATTCTACGTCAGCTCGATCTATGAAACATAATTTATCTATGGATTATTCTAATAATGTTTGCTACTTCTATATAGGGGAGATGTTATTCAATTGAGGAAAAGTTCAATTTTTTTGTAGATTTTGCATTACAATCGGTAGTTCTGTAGACCAGGATCAAAATCGGTCAACCTGGTAACATGGAATTGATCTCAGATTTGGACTTAGCGACCGCAAAAACTTACATACGGGTCTAGTAGATTTGATTTTCCGACATTTACTCAATTTGCCCTTGAAATCACCTCAAAGCTCCCGTCGAATGACCTGATACGGAAAAACTGATTCCAAATTTGGACTTAGCGACCCTAAAGACCTACAAGCATGACAGATGCCTGATACCTGACTGCTTACTCAGTTAACTTGAAAAGTTCACTTAAATATGTCCTTGAACTGACATTCACCCTGGCCAAGAGAAAGTTCCGTTGGGAGCCAAATATATAGTAGGCCTTACGGGCCTCCCTCCTTTCATTTAGCCAGAAGATCATGGCGTCCTGTAAGTACTGACTGCATTTGATGTGATATCATCTCCTACGTCATTCGCATTTAAGCAATTGAAATCTGCATAGCAATAGGACCACAAAGCAATTAGCATAGAAACGCCAGAACATTTGAAAGAGCCTCGAGTCGCTTGTGATTATTGTGAAACCGCGTTGGTTAGCTGTATTGTAGAATGTGTAGGAAACACGTGTGGCAACGTGGTGACGTGATCTCGGTAGCTGCACTGATTGCCTTCAGCTAACAGCCTCTGTCTGGTCGTGAACCCACGTCGATCAGAAGCTGCAGTAGCTAATTAGGTGTGATAATGCAGCTGGGTAACGCAACCGTAAGAAAATTAACGGTTACGAGCTATTGTCGCGAGATAACCTTAATGAGATTGTGGATGTATAGACGAGGTGATCAAGCAGCATTACGTGTAACTACCACTACGATCAATATTTTAGGGAATATTTCTACCAAAAGCAACCTGTCTGCAACCCAGCCAGATCGCCGAACGCCCGTCGGTGCGCAAGGGTCCCGAGACTGTCCGCATTCCAGTTGATTTTGGCATAAAGTGCATTGCATAACGTTGGGATGAATTAAAGAACTTGACTTCTGTTCCTCTAGATACTCTAGAAGATTTTAAAACTACTGAGTTTTGTTTAAATACATGTTTTAAGCTTGAGAATGACTGCTTTTCCCAGATTTTTGGGGCTACAATTGCAAACTTGGTTATAGTAGAACTGGAAAATACCGTCCTTAATAATTTGTCAGTCAAACTAATTTTTTCATATAAGGTATGTAGATGATTGTCTACTCTGCATACATAAAAATCACATCAAAAGCATGTTTAATCAGTCTAATAATTTCCATCCAAGACTGCAGTTCACAAAAGAAATTCAAACTGACAGAAAGATCAACTTCCTCTATATAAATGTTCAATATAACAATGTGGGTCATGTTATAATGATTCGGTATGGTGGAAACGTGTGGTCAAGAAGGAATTTGAATTACGATGTCAATGTTCCGAATACCTACAAAAAAAGATGTTATTAAGCAACCTTAAAAAAAGTGAGAGTGATTCTCTCCTAGAACTTTTGTTGATGCCATCATAAAGATGAGAGTACACCAAATATGTAATAAAAAAACAACACTCAGACGAGCAGAACAAAAAAAATTATAATTGCCTTATGTCGCCGGTCTATCTGAAAATATAAATAAAGTACATACGCCTGTTGCCACAACTAATACATATTATCATCATAATAATAATACTTACTGGTGGAAGCATCTACATTATCTACAGACACTATCACTTAAAAAAATTAAACTAAATATCCGAATTTAATGACACAACTGTCAAAAATGACGTATGTCAAGTGGACTTTGATCCTCACTACAGTCTATAAGAGTTAGGGGACAAACGAATGCTTAATTGGCTACTACAGTCTATTCAGATAAGAGATAGACCGGACATAAACAAGACCACGTGATCATCGAACGCTGTAACATTCGGCAGGGACGTATTAAGAGTCACGCAGTACATATTTTAGATAGTAGATGCTGCTTTGCGTAACTTTGTAGTAAATTAGCACAATTCGATGTGTATACGATTGGTGATGGATATAGGATCATGTGGGGGTGGGGTAAGAAATATATAATGATGTAAATATACATAAGGGTTTCAAAATTTTCGCTTCGATTTCCAGCTTCGGATGCCGCCTGATGTTTGGTGAAATACAGTCGAATATAATCTCAAAATGGCGTTTAAATTAGCCTAAATTAAAAATAATCGTATATCTCTTAAAATTGCTTTTAGAATATTGATTAGTATATTTTTTGATTTCTAGGTAAATATGTAACCAAATTAAAACGTTCAAAACGTAAAAAAATGTGCATGGTTGAACATTGTCAGAAAGTAGATTCTTGAATAGGTTTTGCCAAAATGGGTTCAAAAATGTCAATAATTAATTAAAAAATACAGTAGCTTTATAATTACTTATAACTTACCGAATTTGATGAACGACATCTTTTATTGGAAAGATGAGCTTGACGAGCTTTCATCATCGCTACTGCCTGAAGCACCAACGTCAATAATGAATGGCTCGACTTGTTCCTCTAAAATATTGTCCAGTTCCCACATTCTCTTTTCAACTTTGTCTTTCACGTGCTTAATACAGTTTTCCCATTTTTGCGCTGTTATTAATTCTAGTGCTTCTTTGAAAAGTCCTTTGAGGTCACAAAATTTAAAAGTTGTATTGTGCTTAGCTATATAATTTTTAACCTCTGCCCATATGAGCTCAATGGGATTGAGCTCGCAATGGTATGGAGGTAAACGGAGCACAGTTTTATTTTGACTTGCTGCCATTTCGTCAATGGCGTATTTTTGATATTCCGCCTTGTGATCCTTGACAATTCTTAATAATTGTA